AACTTTATCCGTAAAACCGAGATTTTTAATTAGTATCCGCTAAATCGAGATCCGTTAAATCGAGATTCACTGTGTATTTATCAATCTTCTTGATAGATTGATAAGATTATAAGATTTTTATTTATATTTATATCTACATTTTATTTATATAATTTCATATTGATAAAATAATTCTTATAAGCTTTCTGATCAATAAATATAATAAACGGCTATTCACCAAATTAAATTATATATGTTACCATCACGTGTCACATCTAGCTGGCTATATATAACGAACAAAAATTCTCAGGACAGGGGGTCCGGTATAAACTGAGTCAACTGTATATACATATTTTGGTGGTACAAAATACTTACTATATAGTTGATTTTACGAACAAATTTTTTAAATCGAGCGAGATGTAACAGCGAGTTTCGTGAAATACAAGTCCTAGTTATAGTGCAATGATATTCTTTGAATGACGCATTGATCGAATAGTCTAATAAATTACTACGAAAACATATAAACATACATGCTACCCCCACTTGTGGACCAAAAAACGGTGCATTGGTTTTGCTTTTTACGTTGCATTCGAATTCGAGTACCGAGGCACGTAGTACCGAAACGGAATTCTACGATATGGATTTACACGTTACGTTCAAATGTGAGGGTTGAGGCATATCCTATATTGTTGTTTATTCGTTGAGCAAAAAATTTATTCATTTGAATGATTAAAGAGTCGTTACACGAACAATAAACAAATCTGATATTACTAATAAAGATTAAAAGCCCAAATCCATTCGAGAAAATAGATGGTTCGCCTTTCTTGATGGATGTACATAATGTATGATCAATGAAAACAATGAAAAGAAGCGGTTGAATATAAATTATTGATTGATTCACGTGTAATGAAAAAAATGATGATAATAAAGAAAATATAACGCTCAAGATTCGATGCATCCATAAAAACAAAATATATTATTTATTACGAAATTGAAACCTGTTTCTCAAGCAGTCAAAATCAAAAAGATAAAACGGTTAACGACTCCTAGAAAGAGAAGCTCGATTCGACGCAACAGAGTTTTGTGAAATACAGATTAGTATTAACCAATCAGAATTCCGTATCCAAGCAAGCCACACAAAATTAAAAAAAAAACTATTTTTATTCTTTCCTATCAATAAATCGAAAGAATTTGTAAATAAACGTTTAACAGAAAAGCCTAACTTTAATAATAATATTTCATAGCCTGATAATCAATTGATTAAATTTAAATTAGAAAAGTCATGGCGTTGTCGGTATCATTTGCTCTGAACGCCTTGTAATTTACCTCCACGTATTCTTGATCTTCTATGCAGCACACAGCCACTGTACGTGTTATTTGATGAACATGGTTGACGATAAGATGGATAATATCGTTTTTTTTTGTATACTAGACAAAAGGCAATCGAGTATGGAATCTGTGCAGAATTATACATTAAAAGAGCACTTTTCCGTACATATTTACCCTGAAAATGCATGGAATATGCATGGAATATGTATATAATGTATTTTCAGATCATTTTCAGGACAGATGTGTACGGAAAAGCGCTATTTTCATGTATGGAAAAGCCATATATTTTCTGACAAAATTTTTTATAGGGAAAGAATGTTCAAGAGACGAATTAGTTTTTTTTTATTTACGTTTAGAATAAATCAAAGAAATTATTTTTAATGCTAGACAAAAAGCAATCGAGTAAAGAATATTCGAGAGGAAAATCTGCTTGTTTGTTCATTCATACATGGAATAAGTTTTACAAATTTCGATTGTTAAAAAAATCAACCAAGCCTTTTCCTTTTTAATTAAAAGAAAAAAGATCCTTCGCATTTTTTTTTTAGTGATAATAATAATAAAAAAAAAACCTCCCTTTTCCAGATCAAAGATCAATCGGGGGGTTTTTTTTTTCAAGTCTAAGGGTAAGCATCAAACGAATTTCGATTGTTAGAAAAATCAACTTTTTTGTCTTAATAAAGATCTTTTTGCTCGTGTTTGTCAGATCAAAGATCAATAGTATTTTTTTATTTGCTTTCTCCAAAAGGGAGGTTTTCATTGATATTTAATATAATCGATGGATTTATATTTGTTCTCTCCAAAAGGAAATTTTTCATTTAATATAACCATGGATTTTATTTGTTTTCTTCGAAAGGAAATTTTTTTTTCTTATCACGGTCATCCACCATCCTTCAAACGGTCAAAATTTATTTGAAAGGATCATCCATTATCCTTCAAATGGCCAAAATCAAAAAATTCAACACAATCAAAAAACATGTACATATTGTTTTTTGTCGATCATTAAATTGATAACGTAATGACAAAAAAGATTATTTAGGACCGGAAACTCATGCGATAAAAAAGACCACCAAACCAGCGCAAAATTAATAAATGAACTATCATTCTTTTTAAAAACATGAAATCACGTGGGTTGTCAAAGGATTATGCTGTGTTCTACAAAACTATGGTCCGTCCGTCCTTTTTATGAACCGGACCAAGGACGGACCACAGACGGACTGGTTCTTTAGGATCACCTAAAATCGCGGACATTCGTATGCCACAAAGTGACAAATTTGATAGTGACGGTTCGAATTCAATTGATGCCATAAGTAACGTGATTAAAAATTGTTGTAAAACATCTATTGCTTTAGTCAATTTGATCGGTCGATCAAGTAATTCAATTATTCCTGAAAATTTTAATTTTAAAAATACATATACAGTATATATACTATTATATATATTTTATCAAAAGAATTCAAAAGGTAGTTATCCAATTATTAAATTAATAGTTTTGTATATAATATATTTATTTATATATATTTCTTATTATTAAATAGGCAAAAGAAACAAGGATTGTATTTTATTTATTTTTTATTATTGGATAGACAAAAGAAACGAGGCAGTTAATTTCATATTCATTATTGGATAAATAGGACATGCAGTTTTATATAATAATATCTATTTTCTATATCATTGAATAAATGGTGTGGATAGTATAATAAATAGGAACAAGGTTATTTATTTGAAAAAAATGGTAAAACGTAATTCAAAAATTCGTGCAACTCGGGAAGATCAAAAAACGTAATTATTATCTCACCACAAAGGAAAAATAGATTGATAAAGAAAAAAATATTTATTAATTTAATTAATTTGGATTAGCATATTCGAATTCATTTTATTCGTTTTATTCGAATTTGTTTATTCGTTTTTATTCGTTTTTATTTTACCGAGTCGTTTTATTCTAATAATAGAATTATTTGCTTTATTCGAATTATTCGTTTGCTTCTGCCCTAATGTTGATCGTGAAATGACTATCAACTACACAGCAACAATTATGCAATGGTTTTTGTTTGATTGATTGTTATTATGACAAATTCTCTAAATATAGTTGATATAAATAGTTAGTTGAAAATATTTTTTTTTAAATAAAATCGCATTTTGATTTTGATTTTTTGAAAAAATAAATAATCAATCATTTAATAAAATTTAAAAATTTAAAAAATAAAAACTATGACGATATTAAATCTTTATACAAAAATCGATGGTGATGATAATGATAATAATAATGGTGATGATAATGATAATAATAATGATGATAATAATAATAATAATAATAATAACAATAGAACATTTTTCACTTCACATTCAAGAAAATTTTTTAAAGGACTTTTAATATTTATCTTGGTGCTCACATTTTTTAGATTAATTAATTTCTTTGATGTACTTACATGCCAAGATGATGAAGAAAGTATATGTTTATCAACATTGAAAATTCATTTGAAATCATATACCAATCATAATGATAATGATAATAACGATAACGATAACGATAATGATAACAATAATAATAATAATAATAATAATAATAATAATAATAATAATAATAATAATAATAATAGTAGTAGTAGTACTGAAATAATAACAAATGATGAAGAACTTTATCTCACATTTATTCCTCATAGTGGATTTCACAATCAAAGGATTGCTTTAGAGAATGCGATAGTTCTATCTTGGTTTTTAAATAGAACATTAGTTATGCCACCATCTTTACTTGGAATAAGGAGACCGCTCCACAAATTGGAAAATGATTTATCAGGATTGAGATCAGAACCAGCAGAAATTGTTTGCAAAAATGCCAAACCTGAATATAAACCTAGTTGTATTCAGTTTCATAATTCTTATACATTTTATCCATGGGACAGTTTGTTCAATTTTAGTATTGTTGCAGAATATAATGTTAAGATTTTACCTTTATCGGATTACAGCGATAAGAAAATATTTAACATTTTAAATATAAGCGATCCTTTGAATCAAGTTTATAAATCATTCACATCTCACACCAATCATTCATTTTACGATTTTGAGACTCTTGACGCTAAAACATTAAAAAAAAATCCAAATAAGGATTTTGAGTCTTTATTGGCTCTTAGAAATAACACAAAAAAACTTTTTTATTTTGGTAGTTTATTTGGAACAAATAGATTAATGCTTAAATCAAGTGAGAGTAAAAAATTCTTAAACGAAATAAGAGCAAATCTGATGCCAAACAATAAAATAATGTTGGAAGTTGTTGATAAAATTGTTGATAATTTGGGTGGATACTTAAAGTTCATATCAGTTCATGCTAGAATTGGTGACAGTCATTTTCGTTCAAATAGAAATCAACATCTTACAAAATTTATCAACGATATCAATAAGGATTTTCCAAATTTATCAAATTTTCAACAAACTTCGTATTCAAATTACTCATGTCAACCCCAATCTCATTTCAACAGTTCAATTCCAAATTTATTTGTTGCTAGTGATGTCGCTAAAAACAGTAAATTGATTATCCCCTTTATTAAAGTCTTCCCCTGTTTATATATGCTTTCGGATTTTTATCCTTTCCTTGAACCTTATAGAACACTTAAGAATCCAATTGACAATAAAATATTGTATAAATTTTTATTACCTTTAACCGATCTTATGGTGGCTGCAAGAGCTTCAAATATTTACTCTGTGCATGCTAGTACATTTGGTCGTTACTTAAATGCATATCATCGTTTCTTAGATAGAAACATAGTAATAGATTGAAAATTATGTAAATTATGTATAGAATTCGAAATTCAAAAAAATAAAAATTTTCATCAAATGAATTAATTAATGTAATTTTGTATATAATCAAGTAACTATAGACATGGCAACAAAAATTGTATTATAAAAAAATCATTTTATTTGTCGTAAATCGATATACGCCTGTTAACCAAATTTAGAAATTACTTTATCAATATATGGCACTGTGAATTAATTAAGTCTCTAATGGTAATAGTAACCTACATCAGTTACACGTGCTTAAAAATGATCTATTGAGGCTGACAGACAATAGTAATAATAAGGGTAGTTAGAGGCCAAACGCCAAATAAACCTCCTGAGTTTCATGAATTGGGTGACACGGGGCCCGCAAACAAAAATTCATATTTGTTATATTGACCCAGACCAAGATTTGCAATAACATTAGAAAAAGAACATAATTTAAAAATTTTGAAGCTATCTACTGTATATAACAAAATTAAATTTTGCCAATCAATTGATTTAACTTATCACAACTGATTATAATTTACTATAAAGTATTGATTTTGTTTTTGAATGAGTACGTAAGAAAAAATTTGTTACACGAAATTTGGTTCCCTAATAAATCATTGACTAAATTGATGGATGATGTTTTCATCTTTATTTGTTGTTAAAAAATCCCTTAAACAACAATTCCTGAAACCATCTATTGCTTTCTGTATGTTGTAGTGTCAGATATACTATTGTTAGTTGCAGTGAATGCTTTAATGAGAAATTAGAAATGAATAATTTATTTTTTTAATGAATGAAAATTTTTTGATAATTGAATAAATATATGTATGAACTATATTATATAATAAGTAAATTTTACAAAAAATGCTTATTCAAAAATAATTTACCAAAAAAAAAATGATTCAAAAATGATTACATTTTTTATATGATCAAAGTAATCTATAAAAAAAAGTAATCAAGATTTTTTGTATCACGAAAATTTTTTAAGTCGATCATCGTCATTTTAGGAAATCATAAGGGAAGATCATTCCGAAATTTTATATAGTAATAGACATATACATAATGGTCCGCAACTTTTCTAATAAAAAGAAAAAAGGCAAACCGATGGAAATGAAGCTTAGTCTTTAGCTTTAATTTTCTTTTTTAATAAGGAGTTATAAGTTTTTAAAGTCATGTGATAATCATTGACCATTATAGATGTCCTGCCTGCACTATTTAATATCTTTTTTTTTTCTTTATAAATAATAATATTTGTACCAATGATAACAATATGATACAATGCAGCCATTCTCGTGAAACATCAAAAACCCTTTATCAAAAAAAAGGATACAAAACGACTCTTATCAAAAAACAAAAACAAAAAATTCGACCAAATATCAATTGACGTTGCACCGGTTTAATTTTGTTGCTTTCTTATGTTAATAATTTGACCCTGACTTGGGGTGGGATTGGACTATACTTTGGGCAGCAAGTATAATAATAAACTCTACCAACAAATCAATGGTAAACTATATTAACAAAGCAAGAATAATTGTATATCATAAACTACCACTATTAATTATAATAATATTATAGAAATAATAATAGTTTGAGGAAATTGGTATTTATAAAAAGAATAATTTATCCCCTTTCCATGAGTAATATCATGGCATAATAGAAGAAAAAGAATTTTTTAGTAGCAATTTTAATAAATAAAATATACGATTGAGTTTATTTCTATGGATTTAAAAACATAATGCGAATTTACTTCATTAAGGAATAATTTAAAAATTAAATCTTTGTTTTTGACCAAAAAAAAAACAATCTAAAATCTTAAACCAGAATTTGTAGACGGGATCCCATTTATTATATGATAAAAAATTTCTGAAATTGGAACCTTATATTAAGAATGTTTGTTGACTGCAAAAGAACAAGTAATTAACGAGCTGCTTCCTAATCAAGATGGAATAAAAAAGATTGAGATATTTAAAATTAATTTTTTTTATATTATAATCACAGGAAACACTTGCAGCATCACATTTAACGGAATTTAAAAACTTTCTTTAAAGAAATTATTTTTACTTTATTTGGTAAAATATTTGTTGTATGAAGTACTGACATTTTCGGCAATAGAACGCGACAATCAATCAAAATCTCTCTGTCGCAGTAAAGTTCTCAATTACAGAGTAAAGGATCTACTACATAAATGGCCTTCTTCTAAAGTCGTGTGATAAATCATCTATTTTTCTGATTCAGGACCAGTGTCTAAAATCGGTGTATGGAACGCTCGATCCGAGCATAATCATTTATATGTGTACCGTCCGACCTCGACTTTTTATAATACATATGTAAATATAACAATTAAATTAAATTATATACACCTATATATATAATAAATATTAACAAATCCAAAATTGCTGATTTATTATATAAAAAATTATTGCAATGTTTTTTTCTGATGAACTTTTTCATTTGTAACGTGATTATAATTAACAGTTTTATAATATCCCATTTTCTATCTTGAGTGATATATAGAACTGACCCCATATAAAAATAATAAAAATAGTAATATGAAGCTAATTTATACCAGGTCCACTATGGAACCCAAGAATTATAGCACCATTAGAAGTATTTTGAAGAAAGAACAAGTGCTCCTTATGTTTTCAAAATAAATGATACTCAAACACTGGAAGCTTATCTAAGGAAAGAAATGGTTACTTATGAAATTTACCACCAAGAAGAAAGAAAGATAATAAACATTAAGAAAAGAAAACAGAATGAAAGTACACTGTTACCCAACAAAAAACAAAATCCTTAGAAGGAAAATAATTAATGTGGTAATTATAAAACCCAAAAAGTTATACCTGCTACTCATAATCATATTTATCATCATAATTTCCTTTATTTTTGAAATATTGTTTTTATATTCATCAGCAGCTTTGGCAAAATCTTCATTTTTAAGTCAGAGACAATAGTTTTGACATGATTACATTGTAATCAGGAAGAATGTAAATTTATTTTTATCAGTAATACTATAGCTGCTTTTTTATAATCATTGGATTATCATCAATAAGATATTGAAAGCCAGGATATTTTCTTTAACTTCATCTAAAGGACAGTCGGAATGAATTTCAATTTATGCAAAGGAAAGTTACTTTCTTATTTTCAACCAAGGTCATTTCTTTCTTAGTTTCTTTAACTTTAATTTGAACAATTTGACCATTTTGCTGTTAATTGAAATTTTAAATCATTGATTTCTTTATTAATTCTTGGGTTGTTAGCTCTTTTAGTTGCTTATTCTCCTCTTCTAAGTGTTTAATCCTATCCAATAACTCTTGTTTTTGTCTTTTATGCCAATCCTCAACCACTTCCAAAGCCTCCAAATGAGTTTCTACTTCCTCAGTCAGTTGATTTTTTTCTTCCCTCAAACCATTTATTTGTGTTTCATAAAAAAGTGATATTCCTCCATTTTGGTGAGGCAAAAGAGTAAGTTCTTTTTCATTTTCCTCTTCTTTACAATCACAAGTGTATCTAGTCTTTAGCCTTCCACAATTACATTTACTTATCACTTTCAACCATTTCACCAGTTGCTTTGCTTTGCATTCTGATTTGACAAACTGCTTTTTTCAAACCAGGGCAAAAAACACAAGTAGAATTATTGCTATGTCATTCTTCTAACTCTAAGATTGTGTAGAGTAGTTCTCTCATGATTACTTAACTGGAACTTCTATTTTAGTAACAAGTGCTTGACTGTGAAACTTCTCTCTTTTGATTAATTTCTGCAACTGCTGAACCTTGGCTCTTGTCTTTGTTTTTAATTGCTCGAAAATGTTTTGCTTGGTTAAATTATTACTTTCTTCTTTAGGTAGAACGGGTAAGGGTTTTCTTTCCAAATATAGTTGTGTTTTTAGTCTTTCTCTTTCTTTTGCTTCATATTCAAATCTCTGATCATCCTTTCTTAACATTACTAATTTTTGGGCTAACTCTTCTTGTAACTTTTCATTCTTTGTTATTTCCTCTTCAAGCATTTTATCAGACTTTTGCAACATTAGTGATTTTTGTTTGATTTCATCATTCAAAAGACCTTTTTGTCAGTTTTTTCATTCTTCAGCCTTATTTATTGCTTCAGCTAAGTCTTTAGAACTTTGTTCTAATTTTTCAATGACTTCAAAGACAACTTTATTTAATTCTTTCTCTGTTCTGCTTGTTAAATTTTTTAATTCTCCTAAGTCTCAATTATGAAATTGATCTTCTCAAGAAACATTATCAATTTCTTCTTGCTCCTCATGTCAAACTAACAAAATTTCTGTAAGTTTTTTTTCTAAATCCTCAACTTGCTCATTATACTTATTCAATTCTGCTATTTTTTTTTCATATTCTCTTTTGTTCAGTAAGTTGATAACCTCTTTCACTTCAATTTGAAATATACTAGAACAACTTGTAGCTAATTCTTTTGAACTATCAATAAACTCCACTAACATTTCTTCAACTGTGATGTTGTCAAATCAAACTCTTTTACAATTTTTGGCTCATTCCCTTGTTTCATTAGGATCTACTGTCATTCTTAACCTACCTTCCTCTAATCACTTTTTGTTAGTTTCTCATATCATCAATGACCAGGGACATAACTACTTTCATCAGGTTGACCAGTAAGGTGACAAATTTTTAATTTATGTTCTTCTATTGATTGTTCTCTTACTTGATCTTTACCAGCTAACTGCTTTTTTCTAAATCAGCAATTTTGTTTAATAGTTCTTTATTTGCTTGTTGTTGTTCATGTATTATGTTTTTCATGATTTACTTGCTTGTTCCTTTTTTTATTTGTACTTATGTCCTTTTTATATGGGTGTATTAAGTATTATCATCCTCAAAAAATGATGATTTGTTATTGTCATTTGCTATTTATTGCCACTAATATTATTGTTTAATGTTGCTATAACAACTACTGATTTGATAGATATTCATAATAATCATTAATAAAACTTTAATCAATATAAAGTCAGAAATATAAAACAATCCAATAAAATACCTTTTAGTTTTTGCTGAATCCCATCTACAAAAATTCTTCACGACTATTAAATTTCTATAAAATAGTTTTTCGTGAACCTCTCTAAAACTTATTAACCAATATCCCCATAAAGTAATGACCATATGAAAGCTTAAAGTATTTTACACCTTCTCATTTACTATCAAGTCTTTTAAAGCAATATTGAGAAATAATCTGAGATTTGAAGTGAAAAAGTAATACCATTTTTTAATAGCCATGGATTCATGTAGAGAAGACCTTTTGATATGAAAGAGTATTCATTAGAAACCTTTAATGGAGTACTTTCATACTCTAACAACGAAGTTCGAGTTTATTATAAAAATAACATGATATTTTAAAAAAAACTTCATGTGACACAAGTTTATTTTCACATATAGAAAATCAATTGATGTGACATGTCCTGTGACTAATATATATAAATGGTCACAGTCAGTTGATATATTTGTGTGACCTGTATACATTAAATATCTCTAATCTTCAAGTTTTAGATAAGACCAATAAATAGTTATTATTATGAATATCATTACTTTAAATTGTTTGGTAGAAGGTGATGACCCTTATATACAGTCTTTCAATGTTGAAATTGACAAGACCAAAACAGTTGGTGAACTTAAGCAAGTCATCAAGAATGAACAAGAGCCCTTTTTCGACAATGTTGCAGCCAGAGACCTTGAGTTGTGGAAAGTTGACATTTCTTTTGATGAACCAAATGAGAAGCTGAGTGTACTTAGAGACAAGACATGTGCTGTGATCAAAGAACAACTAGGAGGCGTGAATATGCACCCGATTTTGAAAATTGACATGTATTTTCCTGACATACCAGAGAAAGGGCATATCCACATAATTGTTGGACACCCACCTGGTAAGTGAATTGTAATAAAATTGTGGTTTAATTTTTTATTCACTTAATTATTTTCCTTTCATATTATTAATATCACTTGTGATGAAACATTTTTACTCACTATAATCAATGCATATATGTTTCATCTTTTTTGCCATATGTCTCAGCTATTAAGAGAGAAACCAATGATGAAGTTACTATAAAGCTCAATAAGATTAAAGATTTAATCAAAGAGCAACATAAATCCGAAGTAGCAATATCAAGTGTTAACCGTAGTGATTGGGAAAGGATTCAAGAATTTACTGGTCTTAATATTGAAGCAGCGAATCTTGATGTAGAGTATGACACAGAGAATGTTGTTGCTTACCAATGGAATGGTAGACAAGAAAAGGAACAAAAAGATATATATTTATCTCATCTCAGGAATATACTCAAAATTTCCAGATATCACTTACTTGAACTTTATGATACAACCAATGATAAAAATTTTCTTGGCATTGCTGGTATCTTGCCAATAAGACTCTTTGGTACAACAGATGCTGTTATAGTAGACAGGCGTTCTATTCCTGCCAGAATCCCAGAACGTCATATCCAAATTGTTTTTGACTTAAAGAAGAACATTATTAAGAGAGATATATATCAAGCTATGGCAGAATTAACTACAGCAGATTTAAAATCTAAATATGCTGTGTTAACAGTATTAACTGACTTGGTAGATGATTGACAGTTTTTTTGGTTTGAAGGAAGAAAGATTATGACACTCACCCTTCCCAGAGGTAAAGCTGTGGCACTTATACAAAAAAATATGGAATTTGCAGATCAAGGAGCAAATGCAGAAGTAGAGGAACCGTTGCCAAAAAGACAAAAATTTAAATATACAACTTCCAATGTAAGTTCTGATATAGCTCCTATGGAAGATTTTTTTGATACTATGACTGAAGAAGAAATATTCAGATATAAAACAAAACGTGTCTTAACTCAATTTTTTAGCCACCCAATGTTTAATGGATGGAACAATTTGGAACTAGGGCAGACAGATTAGTTAGAAATAATCATCATGTAGCCAATTACTTTTGTAATTTGCTAATTTTAATAATAAAGGACCCTAAGATCAAACTCTTTGTATATCAATTGACATCTGCATTAATTTTTCACATAGGGTTTGTGCTCATGATAATTCATTATTCTGCTAATTGGATTTGCCCTTCAGCTGAAATACTCAGGGCTGGTGGAGATCTTGATTTCATTATTAAACTTTGCAGAGGGTTAATCAAAGATTAGCATAAGGGATTCTTTGATCATTATTGTAACTACAGTTCCCTCTCTGTAACAAACATTAAGTAAAATCTCTCTATAATGGAATTTCCTTTTGTCCCTGATTCATTTTTTTATAATTAATTTCTCTCTCTATAATGAACATCTTAGTAAAAACTCTATATAATGAACAAAGGCAAAAAAATTACATTGTAACTGTATTTCTGCAATTATGTATTAATTATTTTTTTTCTAGCTTTTTTTTCAGGATCCAAAATTTGAAACAATTATACTGGAGACCACCTTACATTATCATTAATGTTTTTTTAACTTAATTCTAGCTGCATCTGCCAGCATCCACAATTTTGACATACTTTACTTAGTACTAACATTTCCAGTATGGTATTATGCAGCAGATGTGTAATTTGCAACAAAATTAGAGTAGGCTCTGAAGTATAGAAAAACAAGTATAAATAAAGCAGAACTGGGAGTTGGGTGGATGAACTTGTTATCTTTTAAAACATTTTCAAGGTATAATAGTGAAAAAAGCCAAATGTGCACTTTGTAAAGAAACTAAA